ATAGGAAAACCTTTCTTTGAATGAACACACATATCCTTCAGGTCATTGTGTATATTATTGCTGTCTTGTATATTGTCTGTTGCATTGTAGACTATGCTTATGATGCTTATGATAGAACCACTCATTCATGTAACCTTACATCTACCATGTTTGGTCTCTATGAAGGATTATCTAGATTATCTGTGCCAGGCTTCGGCCTTGACTTTCCATTCACCGGGATTCTCTGACTCAAACTGGTTCTTTTTCATCAACCAACTTCAGCAAAGATCAACTTGAGCCTTCAGATTGCATCAGGACTCTCTTTCAGACAGACAAGACGTGCAAGTATCAAACTTGGTCTTATTAATTGATACATTAGGTATCATTTGCGCCTTTTTACAAAGGTGTGTTTGAACTAAGAATCTGATGTTTCCTTCAGGCCTTAGATCTGCTGAATATCCAATGGTCCAATAGCTTCATGCTTTATTTCTCTTCTCTTTGCTGCCTACGCTTTAATCCTGTTCCTATACCAACTGTGTGTGTGTGTGTGTGTATGTGTGTATGTGTATGTTAGACTAGTTTAAGTGTGTATGTAGTTAATAAAGTCTTACTTGTATCACACTTGCCGTTGTTCATTGTTTGCTCATAACTGGAGTCCCTAATCATGCAGATTTATGCTACAGGCTCTGTGTAGTATTGTTGCAGATTTATGCTACAGGCTCTGTGTAGAGTTGTACAGTAAGAAAGTTATTTCCCTTAACCAGGAAATTAACTTTCTTAGAATTGACAGACAGTTGACCCTGAGAGGTCAAGTAAATACTTACAGCGGATCTAAATATTTATAATTAATTATAACTAGTTATGATTAATTATTCATATTTCCCCTTTGAGCTGATTCGCTACAGCGTATATTTAATTAGATAGTGCATCATTTGCATATTTAAACATAACATTTCAGAAAACCTGTAATAAAAAAGGGTTAGGTTTAGGGTTAGGTTTCGTTTACCCTATTCTGTAGTGTCTTAGATGAAATTGGGGAAAAGGTTGATAGGGGCGGGCATAAAAATAATCTTGAAAAAGTAAATGCATGTAAAAATCAACACAGATGTTCATGTTTTCTTAGTGTTACAATCAACCCCACCTCACTTACTGTTAAAAGTTGTACATGACATTCACACAGTTTAAGGATCATTTTCAAAATAACTTGAATTCATAGCAAGTATATTACAATTTGAGAAACCTAAATAAGAACTGAGTTACAGACATTAAATGGTATGTTAAAATGTGACCCTGGACCACAAAACCAGTCTTAAGTCGCATGGGTATATTTTTAGCAATAGCCAAAAAAACATTGTATGGATCAAAATTATAGATTTTTCTTTTATGCCAAAAATCATTAGGATATTCAGTAAAGATCATGTTCCATGAAGATATTTTGTAAATTTCCTACTGTAAATATATCAAAACTTATTTTTTGATTAGTATTATGCATTGCTAAGAACTTAATCTGGACAACTTTAAAGGAGATTTTCTCAATATTTGGATTTTTTTTTTTTTGCACCCTCAGATTCCAGATTTTCAAATAGTTGTATCTCGGCCAAATATTGTCCAATCCTAACAAACCATACATCAATGGAAAGCGTATCTATTCAGCTTTCAGATGTTATATATATCTAAATTTTGAGAAATTGACCCTTATGACTGTTTTTTTGAGGGTCACAAATATTAAAAAAAGCAATGTTGTAACAATATTGTTACGGTGCATTCAAGAGTCCTGACCAGTAAAACATAATACACACACACTGTCTAGGGAAAACAGACTAGCCAAGGGTGTGCGTTTCCCATACAACAACATAACTCGCTGCTTAACTAACATAGCACAGTGTGTCGCTGGAGAAACTAGACAACTAACCAAAAATGTTTGCACCTCCGTAGTTTGAACTACATTGGCTCAACAATACAGGACTGTTGTTAATGATGTCATGCATAGGTGATGGAGTAATAGCTTTTCCTTGTCATTTTGATTCATTTGATGTTTGATTAATCTGAGGTTACCTCTTACATCATACTCTGGGTTTCCCTTACACAATTATGCACCTGTGCACTCACTTAACAACGCTTATTGAGGACACGCTAAAATATACAGATTGAAATTTATATGGAATGAAAGACACAGATTGTGCTGTATGTTAGCTTGCTTATTTTGCCCAAGATCATGATCTATTTCAGTCCACATATCAAAATAACAAGAAATGTCTCGGTTATGTATGTAACCCTCGTTCCCTGAAGGAGGGAACGGAGACGTCACGTCAGTGACCGACAAATTGGGAATCTTGCCAGAGAGACCAATCTAATTTGAGTGTAAACTAAACAAGCCAATGCACATTGCATGCGATGATTGCATCCAACTGCCGCTGATCGCAGCATGAGTATAAATGAGTACAAATATGCAGCAGGTGCCACACATACTCAGCTTTTCACTGAGGAGCCGAGCTGGTGACCCGGCCGCTCAGCGGTGGTAGAGCAACTGTGGCGACAGGACGTGACGTCTCCATTCCCTCCTTCAGGGAACGAGGGTTACATACGTAACCGAGACGTTCCCTTTCAGTCGATCACTCTCGATGTTACATCGATGACTGACGAATTGGGAATCCCTACCAAAGCGCCACAGATGCTACCCCTTCCGGTGTCCTGTGTGAGCCTCCTGTGACCCTTTGGGTATAGGCCAGGGCTTGCCACAGAAAGTCCAGTCACTGTTGTCTTAGCACTATACCCTCTCAGTGAGATTGGATAACACTGGGAAAACATACCCGTTCTACTAGGAACAGGAATGTTGCGGAAGCCCCCTCCTTCCCGAAGCAGGTTTTAGGTGGCATTTACATATATGTGACCCTGTCTGTGAAATCCAGGCTAAAGTCTCAGAATCTAATTATGAGATAGCAAGCATAAAAGTTTGATTTCAACCATTAATTTCACTATGATTTCAATCTTTGACATGGCCTTACTCAGTCAATATTAAATATATAAAGGTTATAATTTCACAGAATGTTCTACATCTTTATGAAGGATGATTTTATGTAGAAAACAGTAAATCACAAAAAAATATTTTTGCTGGGTTTTCTCAGGCAGGGTCACATATGGATTAACCTCTTAGGGCCTCTGTACATATGGAAGATTTAGAGGTGGTTGTAATCCACTTGCAGGGATGGCAGAGAAGTCTGCAGGGGAAACACGGGCTTAAGCTATACTATATAAGCTATATTTGTGGAAGAATACACACATGGGGTCAACTTAGGTCACTACATATTGGA